TCTCTCATCTGTTCTTGAATTTCATTAGATTCTCATATAATATATATGTGGCAGTGCGCGGTCTGTGGCGCTGCAGGGGAGGTGGACGCACCTGAGCTGCATCCACAATCATGCTGAAAAGCATTGAATTGTGAACTGGTCTGTCGTGTGTTTACTACAATATTGTTTACTGAGATCTTAATAAATAAAATCATCATTTAAAAACTGCATTTTGCATTATCATCTTATCATCTTTGTCTAACATTAACATTTGTTTGATGATCTGAAACGTGCATGTGACACATATGCAGCAAAATAAGAAACTTACACTTCTCCAGCACAGTTCTCACATCAGCAAAAATGAAATGGCACACACACTCTGCAGTAGGGAGTTCGGAGGGTGAAGACTATTTAAACTCTGATAATACTGCAGTGGGCACCTACATTCTCAAATGCAACTTAGGACTGCAGTGGATGTACAAACTGTATTTTTTTGCTTTAGCACTTCTGTAACACAAGACTACTCGCGCATTTTTAATAATTTCTTTGATAAAAGTTGATATTTTTGTCAAATAGTAAACATATTCGCTTGACACACTTTGCAATTTGTTGCAAACATGAGTAAGAAATAGAATAGTGTTTTGTTGATCTGTGAAGTTTAATTTAGTAGGAGACAAGTAATCCCTGATAGTCAACATACTGCTCGGCACTTCTAGTCTCTAGATCAACACTGAGTGGAACAGTTCCATATTAGGACCACCATTCTGCAGCTTCTTAAAGGGATTGTTTACTGGCAAACACTTCAAAAGGCCTGGGGGTACTTATAACGGAACACTTATTTTTAGCAGGTATAGGGACATGCAAAGTGTTTTTAGTTCCTCAAAAGGCTATATAACCTGTCTACTTAACAGTGGTAAATGAACATACACTGAAGCTAATTATATACACACACATGCACAAAAGCAGGCATGCAGGGCAGTCAGAAAACCTTTGCCTGAGTGTGTGTTTGTTAATACCCAGGAATGAGAAGGTCTGTTTGTGTGCCAGGCCAGCTGTGCTGCCAGTGGGGAGATGAACGATGTGTGCCTTGTTAAAATGTCTCAAACATTCTTTGAGAGCCAGGTCAACCTGACAATCCACTGCATCCATTTAAAACGTTTTTATAACCTCCAAACGGTGTATAAACTTCCAAAATAATCTTTGATGAAAGCTAAATGTGTGAATATTTAATTTTATTAGACAAGGCAGCTAAAAGTTGTGTTTATACTTGGTTATAGCTCTAAAAATAAAGCAGTTCTAATAGATTATAGAAATATATAGAAATATATAAATATATATTATAGAAGAATAGAATTTTAAAAAAACAAAGCAAAACAAAGCTTATAAAATCACTCTATATATATTTCTATTCTACTCTATACAGGAGTAAATGGGAACTAAAGGCTTAAATCAACGAAGAAATTCATCTAAATCAATTAATTTTTAATCTTTTTATGGCTTTTTGTTTAGCAACACAAAAACAGCTTTCTAATGAAGCTTATGTGTAAGTTCAGCAATTAAGATCTGTAATCACTACCTGCTTTTCAGCTGTTAGTCTGTTCTTCATATCACTACCACTACCCACGCTGTCAAGCTCAATACTCTGCTCCAATCATCTTCTTGCGTGCCTGCTTTGAACCAATCAGCATCTACATTGCAGGGTTTAAATCTATGCTCTCTGTCATTCTCCCTTTCAGACTGTGCTTTGTGCAACTCATCTCCTACCGGAGTCTAATCTCCAAATACACTGATTAATTACGTTTAATTTTTCCAAATGATCTCTCCTCATTCAAATGAAGTTAAAGCTGAATTTCATTCAGACTTTTCCCCTGTGAAATGGGGGTGTGAAAGACACACAGAGAAGCAGCAGTACTGAAAGTAATTGAAGAGTTGCACGAGGACACATATTGGATGTTTTCTTTGCAACAACATCAGAGATCTTGGTAAGCTTTTAGTATTGTACCACCTATGAGACACTCTTGAATAACCTGCATGTTTAGTCACTTAACTCTGCTCTCCTCTTCCCATTTTTATTGCCTGACTTTATTTGACCTTGGTTCTGTCTATCTGTCTAACTCCCTCTGAATGTTTTTTTCTCAGAGTCCCATGCTTCTCTACCTGGCCGCAATCCATAACAGTCTGGAAGCATGCTGAAGCAACACATGTACACGCTGTTTATGCGGATACAAGTATTCAGACAAACCAGGTGACCCTGTATCACCATCTGCTCTGGCTACAAAATGTAGATCCAATTTTAAGCAAAGTGCTGCACACCGAATCCCTTCTGTTACACTCTGTCAGTGTACAGCAGTGATTCAACACACACTCCACAGGTAATTGCTCACTTCAAAGACAACAAGCATTAATAACTCCTTTGCTCTGGAAATCACGTCACCTTCTTTCCCCCGAATTCTTTATTTCCTCACTGTTTACATGCCCCTTTCCTCCTCTTTCCACTCCTTTAGGTGATTAATTTGTTTTGCGTTGTCATCTTTCAGCCGCTTCCGCTTTTCTTCTTCAGTTTTCTTCTCCTGCTTTTTCTCACCCCCCTTTTGCTTTATTGTACTTGAAGAGGAGTTTAAGGAAGTAAAAGATGCCAGAATGGTAGAATATGGCTGTTTTACTCAGTGAAATAGAGAGCAAAACACTGACTCGAAGAAATAAAAAGAGTCATTCTTACATACTTTTTGATCTCACATGGGTAATTAACTGGGTGTCTGTGACAGTGTGTTTCTCTGGATGTCATTGTGGATTAAAAATCATAACATTTCGCAAACAGACAAATGATGGTTGGACTGAGAATAGAAGAAATAGACATCAATAATACAATAACACAACTGCCTTCGGCTCAGTGATCTCTGCTGATTAATACATTGCTTAGCTGTAACTGCGTTTAGCGTAATATTGACCATTAATCGAGGCTAACAGGAGGGTGGAAAGGAGATTGTTTGGATATATTTTCTTCATCAGCTGCTGTCACAATTTGTCATCCCGAGAGCCACGGCAGATTTGAATCACATCATGATGAACTGTAAGTAATATTTTCTGGAATTTGGCAATGATTATTAAATAAGTGACAGTGTTGGTTTAAACCCTGGGCTGTGGATAATTCCAGACAAATATGAGCAATGTCTCCATGGCAGTATGTTGCAGCTCTCAATATAACTCTAAACCACGGTTCATCCCTAAAGTATTTCTGAGAGTAAGGTGAATAATGACTACTGACAGCATTTATGGGCTGCAGACCTCATGCTCCTCTGTTCATTGTTTATTTGAAAAATGAATACAGTGATGTTGTGAGCCATCTAGCTCCGTAGCTCAGTTGGTATGCCATACCCAAATGGTAGGCGGTTAGCCGCTAGCTAATGCCTAGCTTTAACCACTAGCTAGAGAACACA